TCATTGTTACAAAAGCAAACCGTCTACTCCTTCCAGAGTACTTATCATACATTACCTATCAACACAGAATGGTAAACTTCATATCATTATGCAATATAATATATTTATTGAAGTCCCGCATCTTCCTTGTCTTCCAGCACAAAAATAGGGGATCTTCACGTTATGTTTATCTTTTTTTTTCAGTATTTTGGGGGTTTCTATCATGCAGTTTGTGACTATTTGAATTCTTAGCTTAATTTAATTTCTTGTATGGAGTAGACATCATAATTGGTACATTACTATATGTCTTAATAGCATGCGATTTCCAGCAGGTTTATCATCCACCAACTTACTTCTATCTGTCAGTTAGCATCAATTATCACACATCATAAATGAAAAGGCATTTATACCAACATTTTAGCAACCTGGAATTGAGAAGTGACAACATTACACTCGTTCTATACCAAAAACACCCCATTAAACAAAAGTATAATCAGACATGTTATGTACATATCTCTTGTTATCTGGTACCCAATTAACCTCTTTGTTGTTTTTGAGGTTGATAAGGTTTTTCTTTATCCATGGGAATGAGTTTATATGAAATGTGTACCATATGTAGCTATAGAATCCCTAGTTTTTGCCTTATTCCGAAACTTTTATGTTGAATTTGCACTGTATTCACCATTCATATCCCAACTTAACCATGTATAACTTGAGAAGAAACTAATTTTGCGTCCCTTACTGATATTCCCAGAACATTCATTTGTATAATTCTTTAAGCTCAAACTTCACAAACAATGTTTAATTCATGTAAATCCTATAATTGTTATGTAATTTTCTTCCTTTAAAAATGACAAATTAACATGATAAATAACTCTCCAAACAATCAACCATCTCTGTAACTCAATTGAGAAGACAATAACATCAATTTAGCCATAAAATAAAGCTGAAAAATAAATAACGAGCCATTTATAACCTCGGCCTTTTCAACAGCTCCATGGTCTTCAACAATTTTCCGGAGCTCATCATTCGTAACGGTCCGCGGAATGTTGCCCACATACAGTCTTCTTGCGGAGTCGATTGACGGGTCTGCAGTGGATACTGAAGTGTCCTCGGCTACCGCATTGAGTCTTCTTGGATTCACGGTAACGGGCAATTTGTGTGTGAACTTTAAAGGGAGAATTTTTTGTTTGAGGGACCGGAAATTGAGTTCCGACGGGTGGGTCTTCGAGGAATTTGTGGATTTTTGCAAGAAGCTTGTGAATAATAGAGATGACGACGAGGATGTGGTAGCCATTATCGCCAAGAGCTACAGGAATTTGGTGGTTTTGAGTTGGGGGCGTGGGAATTGGAAAATGGCCGGTTTATCACTTTATCCGTTCGCAATATGATTTCAATTTTTCCTATTGAAACAGATAGGCCTGAAAAAAAAATTAAAAAAAGGGTTACCAAACCAGCTCGAGTCGGTTTGGGTTGCTTTGAGGCAGGCAATTGGTTTGATTTTATTTTATTTTTTAAAACAAAACCCTGATGAGTCGATTTAATCATGGTTTGAAGTCTCAAATTGCGGGTTAACCTAACCGATCCAACCCATTTATATGTTTACCTATTTTTTCAAGAAAAATACTAATCATAAAATAAGTCTTAATCTCGTTACTATATCAAGATTCCCTCCAATTTATAATATTGCCAATAAGTAATGGCATTGGAAAATTCCTTTCTCGAGCTCATTATATGTTATACATAGTTTTTTTCTACTTAGACAATTAGGCTACCTAATGCATAAAAAAAGAAACAAAATTTTTAAGTTTTCTGTTGATCTATCTATATTAATCTGATTTTATTCGTTAGTCAATAGTGTTAGGTTTTAAATGTTTTGTAATGCCAATTCTGTAAACAAAATGACTGATTTGTACTATGTTGAAAAAGTAAGGAGTAATGTACAAATAGTTGAAAATAGGGTTATTAAGTTTAGGGTTCAAGAATGGTAAAAAGAGGAAAACAACGCGAATTTTCGCTAGACTGTCGCCAATGTTTGACTCGAGCTACAAAAGCAGAAACATCGTCACTGGACTGTCGCCCCTCCTTCACTCCCTCGCTCGCTCGCTCGACCATCAATGAGCCATCACTCGAGCGACGTGGTTATCCGGGAAATTTTTATTTCGCGATTTAAAAGTTTTTTACCCGGCCCATTCGATTCCTAACCTACCTATATATACTAAAACACATCTGTACGAAAATTGCAGGGTTGAACATTGAGAGAGCTTCATCTGTGAGAGATTCATTCTATTTTAACTTTCAACATTCATCTACTTTGATTGTTTTGGTAAGAAAAACATCATTCATATAATCCAAATACCAAACTGCATTTCCTCTACATCTGGTCAGAGTTCTTAAGATCGAGAAAATTTGACTGGAAGTCCAGTCTGTGAAGAACAAGGTGTTCTTCGTTGATCCACGGGAAATAGACTATTCCACAAGGCTAGGAGTCCTGCAAGGTAGCAGATTCCACGGAAAGCTTTGGCAACAACAGTTAAGGATTGGTGCAGAGGAGCACGAGATCCAGGGAGAGCTATAAGGAGTGCAGTCGAGAGACCAGATAGTATGGGTCTTCTAGTCTGATAGACTGTAAGTTGTTTGAATTGTTTATAGTAGATTCCTAGTTTGGTTTGTCCGTAATCATACTGATATTGATTTACTGCTTTTGTTATTATTTATTGATTGATCATAAAAACTATGGTATTCAAATTTAGGATTAAAATTACTTGCATGATTAATCATCTAAAAAAGAATTAAAA